TTGCAATGTGTGTACACAAGCTGGAGTAACTTGAGTAAATTCATGCATTCATGCCAACTCCATAAACTGCAAAAAGACAGAATTTTGCCAAGTATTTTTGGTCTAATTTCTAGTTCTTAACTCTTCGTACACTTGAAATAAGACAAAACAAACTTGTAAGTCGCTTTTCAGCAAGATATAGATAATTCTTTATTATTGAGTTACAACATGGGAAAAATTGTTTTTATAGCACTTTTTTAAAATCAATATTAAATTATTATTGACTTAAAACAAGCTCATATTTCTTGCTGAAAATTTGAAGTGACATTTAAAATTTTCAAGACATTTTGCCATATTATAAGTGAAATTATTTCCCAGTGGAACTAACACTTTTTCATCAATATTAACCATTTAACTCCTATATCTTTCTGAAAAGTTACTTGTGAGTTAGTTTAGTCTTATTTCAAGTGTACTAAATTATTTGCAGTAGAAACTAGATCAAAAATACTTGGTAATATTTTGTGTTTTTGCACTGCAGTCAAAAAACGTGACTGCGTGTCCCGCCTCTCGCGCAGTGACGACAAGTTTTGTTCATTTCTGCATGGAAAAAACAGATTTTTAGTTTTAAAGTTGTGACGCAAAAAGAAAACAGAATGTCCAAACACACAAACCGCACACTGCTTCACAGATGGATGAAAGAAAAAGCTTATCTGAGCTGCACACCTGATAACAAGCTAAAGAAGAAGGAAATCCACGTTGTTTAGATGTTTACTCTTTAGATATGCAGGAAAAGTCTGCAGATCTAATCATCTCTGACAAGACAAGTACTCACACACACGGAGACCCAGAAAGAAGAAGGATACACCACACTCAGTTGCAGGTTGACTCAAACTCACTGACACATTTTCACAACACAAACACTTGCTCTGTGAATGACTGCTTTAATATAACGGGACTTATTTTTAGATGGAACATGTTTTATGTTCTGCACAGGAGAAAAAAATAAGAAAGCATCTTTTATAAGTCTGGAGATAAATAAAAAAATATTAATTACACATGCAATCTGACCTGCACACCTGATTAAAGTACTGCAGGAGAAAGAAATGTACGTTGTAGAGATCCTGAAAAAAATTTATCCGCTACATAGATCCCACAAGTCTGGACCGGAAGTGACCCGCGCCATAGTGGACTAATGGCTTCGGGACCAACAAAAAGAAAATATGTGGACACTCGTCTTGACCAATGTGCGAGAGAAAGATACATAAAAATGCCGCTGCTGTCAGGATCGACCCATATGAGACGGAGAAGGAAAATATGTCAGACAATGTGGAAAAGCTCCCTCCGATCTACGACACCGTTAACTTCTCAGTGAACAGGAAGAGTGCGTACACCATGGAGGAGCTTCAATGGATGCATACAATCAATATTTAAAAGGTTTTGTAAAGGACTTACAAACTCTTCGTGTGAACAACAAGGTTCTGGTAGCTAGGCTAATTTTGCTAGTTCGGCAGTGAGTACTACAGTAAATATCACTGGCATTTACTATTACACAAAGGTGGGTAGAGTACTCCAAAATTGTCCTCAAGTAATATTTGTAATGTACTTATATTGTTTATATGGGTGCGTTCACACTGCAGCCTGAAGTGACCCAATTCCGATTTTTTGTCAATTCCGATTTTTTTTACCGGGCCGTTC